GGCACACAGCCTTAATCCCAGCACTCAGAGGCAGAGGCAGGTGGATCTCTGAGTTGGAGAGCAGCCTGGTCTACACAGTGAGTTCAGGATAGCCAGTACTACAAAGAGAAATCCTGTAACAACAATAATAATAATACAGAAATCTTAAAAAAAAAAAAAAACAGCAGAAGTTATCTGTGCTAAGTGTACAAGACTAAGCCTGTCATCAGTCATGGATGGAGAAGGTTCACACAGCTGAACTTTTGGCTACTAGTAAATTTTGGGGAAGGGCATTGTCTTCAATTATGGGCCTACAGGTGAGCCCGCCAGGGTAAAATGAATAATTTAAAACTCCTGGTCACACAGATGGCCCTTGATAAACTCAGTGTGTAGCAAGACCAAAAAGAAAAGAACTGAATGTGAGAAAGGCAGGTTTGTAAGGGAAGGGGTTGATGGGAGTGGACGGGAACTAGTGGGGGTGGGAGCCACCGTAGCAGCACGTATGAAAAAGAGCAAGTTTTTCAGAATTAATAAAGAAATCTCAGAGCTGGAGAGAAGACTTAGCAGTTGAAAGCACTAGCTGCCCTCCAGAGGATCTGGGTTCAGTTTCCAGCACCCACATACAGCTCACAACTGTCTGTAACTCCGGTCCCAGAGAATCCAACATGTTTACACAGACATACATGCAGGCAAAACACCAGTGCACCTAAAATAAAAATAAATAAGAATTTTCTTTAAAAAAAAAAGGTGGGTGGTAAATATCAACTGTACTTCTATTGTACACAAAACAGCAGCTCAGTGTGCTGCTATGCATTACTCCCAGGCTTGGTGGGCTACTTAAAAAACGAGGCAGAAAGAATTCGGTTGTTATACTAGCACATCCTTAGAAAACCACACAGTAAAGCATCTTTCTCCTCTTGGTAATATCATAACTGACTGAATGTTGGCTTTATTGATCTTTGAAACCATCTAGTAGGTTTGAGATTTGCTCAGGATAGTTATGAATATGAAGTAAAGCAAAATAAAAGACGAACACAATAAAACTGGCATTGGCAAGTCAATCCAAATTCTATAAAATAACCATAAATATACAATACACACAAACTGCAATTGTGAGCCTTCAAATTTTTCTTTTAAAATTTGACTACTGGTTGATAAATAATAACAACAATAATAATAACCCAATCAAAACTGTGTTGGTATCTTAATTTGGAAAGTGATAATTTCACAAAAGTCCTTGTTCCCCCCCCCCCCCCGCTTAAATTTTATAATAGCAAACAAATCTATTCAGGACGTTCTACTCAACTTAAATTTGATATAACCAGGGAAGGAATACATACTAGTTAGGAAATGGGCATCATTTAGCTTTGAACTTAGAGAATGGCCAGTTCTAGTCCTTTCCTTAGTTAGTGTCTAGACTCTAGCTTATATCCGCATCTTGGATGAAACGTACTGCACTGCATCTTCTCTCATAGGAGCTGCTATGGGAACGTGTTGGAGACTGAGGTTGGTGCCATATGGGCTGTGCCGTCAGTTACCTACTGTGTTAATCTAGGCAAGCTGGCTGACCTTAACAATCCTACATCCCTTTCTTTATAAAACAGGGGTGCTTAAAAGAAAAAACTGGTTCCAACTGGGTATTTTGAGGATTAGAGAGAACATGCTTATAAAGATGCTCCCAACCTGCCTTGTGCATCTTGCTCACATAGTTATCTACTGCATTGCTGCTGACATTTTCTGCTACATAATTATCCCCTTGGTTCATTTGCATTCTGACTCCTAGTGTTTTTCTGGAATTAGTAGATGTTCAATTAAGTGTTGAGCTCAGAGAGGGTAAAGCTATGGGAAGATTGGTAGTAAGATGGGAGCTGGGAGCAGCCATTGTATACGTCATAGAAGGAATAAAGGGTACTGTTGACTGCTGACAGCAGAGTTCTCAATCTCTGTGAGAGAGGCAGTGGAGAGGATACACAGAGGTTGGATGCTAATGGCATCGGAAGGCTTTGTGCTAGTAGAATGGGTTTGTTTATACTAGGGAGTAACAAGCTCAGAAAGCTACCGTACCAAATTAAACTGTAAGGGTGTTGGTAGAGGGTGTTGAAGGGTTCCAGTCACTGCTGGTGGGGATCATGGTTGTAGTCACATTTGCAAGTTATTTGTGGGCGTGACCTACAGTTCTGTGCAAACTTCAAGTTCAGAAATTAGTAAAAAGATTCTTGTTACCTTTATCTAATAATATTGTTCACTAGAAAGTAATTTAGCCAAAATGTAAGTAGATGCAAGCAATCCAGTCAGCTATCCAGCTCCATAAAATGGCACTTCTTAAAGGGTTAGCTCTTGGGAAATGTGACTCTGTGTGAGTGAAAGAGTCCTAGAGACAAAGATTGTGTAGCTCTTGATGCTCTTCTTAGAGACTCATGGAAAATGATAACTGTGCTTTGGAGTGCTTGATGCTCTTCTTAGAGACATGAAAAATGATAACCATGGTTAGAGCACTTGATGCTCTTTATAGAGACTCATGGAAAATGGTAACCATGCATGGTTTGGAGCACTTGATGCTCTTGGAGAGGCCTGGAGCTGGATTCCAGTATCCATGTCAAGCATCTCACAGTTGTCCGTGTCTTGAGGGGATGTGACACCATCTTCTGGCCTCTGTGAACACCCACACATGTGGCATATGTACACATTCACATTGTTTTTAATTAAATGTGCATTTTAATAAAAAATAACCACGAGATAGAGAAACCTTTAGAACTAAACCTTCTAGAGAAAAATACGGTATCTTTTACACAACTTGCTATGAGAGAGCAGCCGGTTTGTATATTTACTTCCTACATGTTAGTTAAGACCAGGAAAAGTAAGATCGCTACAAGGAAGAGGACAGCCAGAAAACCAGAACGTAAACTGCCCCTCTTTAGAAGACCAGTAGACAGAGGGTTGAATAAAGTAGTGGACTAGATAATTGGTTGAGATGTGAAAAGAATTTAAACAAAAAGAAATATCCAAAAAAAAGGAAAATTTAACAACTTTGATACAGAAATTAGAAAAGCACCGATAGTGTTTCAGGGTTTGAGAGTGTACTTTCTCTGATGTGATTATTAGTTTTGCTATTTTCTTAATAGTCTATAAGTTAATGTTAGTTATATGCCTTTAAAAATTCTTCTATATAGTCACAACACAGTCTCATGTTTAGCCTCTTTCTGTTCTAATCCCTAGGATTTGCAAATGCAGGTAGGTTTCTGGTTTTGCTGTAGCCCACCCTCCCGTTCCTGGACATACACATAAATTCACTGTCAAAGCACATAGAACTTCCTCAGAAATTAATGTTTGTCCGACTTACCACTGCTTTTTCTTTGGTAAGCAAAATGATGTGTGTATATTGCTATGTATAAATGCTGATGTTTTGCTATATATGTGTGTGTGTGTTTTATATATAATATTCAGAAATATTACCATGATTCCATTTTCTGGTTGCTAGGATGAGTATGATGCATGTAATTAAAACTTGCCCCTGGACTAGGTTATAGGTTAGGGTAACGCTTTTCCCAGCTTGTGCAAGGTATTGCTTTCCCTCCTCACCTTTTGAGTTCTTTTATGGTAACAGTGTATGGACAAAGTAGCATTGATGTCCATTATGTTGTAGGTATGCTGTCGGCACTAAATAGAATGCAGAAGGAGCAAAACTGGATGTTTAGCAAGCCTGTTGTCTACTTCAGGGGAGAGAATTAGTTAGGAATTCACATCAGCCAAAAGAAGTCTCTGGTGGCCTTGAATATGAAGAGATTTAAGCAGCCAGAATTCATTTTTCTTCCATTTTGGTTTGTGTAACAGGAGGAGCAGGCTGATTATCGTCCTGGCCACCCAGCTATCTTACACCCGAAATAATCACACAGAAACTGTATTCATTTAAACACTGCTTGACCCATTAGTTCTAGTTTCTTATTGGCTAATTTTTACATCTCAATTTAACCCATTTCTACTAATCTGTGTATAGCCATGTGACTGTGGCTTACTGGCAAGATTCTAACCAACATCGATCGTCTCAGGCAGGAGATCCATGGCATCTCTGTCTGCCCTTCTTCCCAGCATCCAGTTCTATTTACTCTGCCTACCTAAGTTCTGTCCTATCAACTAGGCCAAGGCAGTTTCTTTATTCATTATCTAATGAAAGCAACACACAAGCAGAAGGAATTCCTACACCAGGTTTGAGTCAGCAGTCACTGTCTATCGCCTGTGTGTCAGGGTAAATCCCAGTGTTGGTGCTGAGTATGAAAAGTAGGTGGTGTGTCCTGGAGCATGCGTAGCCCAGTGAAAGCAGCACAATATCATGTGTCAAGGCTCCACATGGGCGCCAGTGTTGTCAACTGCATGTCGCAGTCTGCCCAGCACAAGGCCCATCCGTGTGTAGGAAGATGACATGGGAACTCAAGGCTGAATGCCTTGAGTGGAGCAGCAAGCGCAGGATGTTTCAGCGCTGTCCTCCAGCCGTTGGGAAGGCTCAACCCTAAGACCTGAGAGACTCCAGCATCAGCAGCGTGTGCATGTCCTTTCTGCACGGTGCTAGTCAAAATTGTGTGAACAGAGCCCTCACAGGAGAACATCTGTCTTCGCCACTCTCTTCCTCGCCATGGTGACAGTGGCCTTCTGCTCCTCCAGAGAACAGGGCTCACTGACTCCTCCTGTGGCCTCTGTCAGTGTCCCTGCTGAGGACTGCTTTGTCTTACCTAAGGACCCACCTGCCGCCACTGTCTCCCATTTGTGCTGTGTCACTTCCCGCCATGGTAGTGACTTTACACATTTGTGAATGTCATGCTCCCATTGAAAGTAACTTCCCTCCAATTAGTCTCAATTGGTATTTTAACTCAGTGTCTAAAAACGTAGGGACTTAGTTGATATTTATTAAATGACTAATATAAACCTTGGGGGCTATGAAATCTCACTCTTTAAAGGTAATTCTAGAGGTAACTCAGTTTGGCAATGATACTGAAAAACTTTTTAATTATTATTTCTTTTTCTTTTAGAAAAATGACGTGGGATCAGTAGAGAAACTTTCTCTACGTAAACAGCGGTTCATGCAGTTTTCATCCCTGGAGCATGAGGGAGAATATTACATGACACCCCGAGACTTCCTCTTTTCAGTAATGTTTGAGCAAGTGGAGCGTGAGTGACTTTTTTTTTTTTTTTGTAAACTTAAACATGAGCATTGAAAAACCTGTTTTCAAGATTAGTGACAGCTTTTTGCATTTGAATTATCACCATTCTGTGTTTTGTGTATTTTATTGTTATGATATGACAGTTATAAACTTTCATATGTATTTATCTTAGAAGTAGTTGTTTTGTACAGATTTTTTTAATTAAAAAAGTGTTTTTAAGATGCCACTAAAAATATTATTTAATAATTTGACTGAATATTATTAGTTTTTGGTGGAATTAAGGTTTTAAATTGAGAGGAAAAATAAACTAGACTAATTATTAAGGAAAGCCATATATCAGTTATTATGTTATTATGCTGTAAGTAGAAAAATTCTGAAAAAATATAACCAAAATTAAAATAACAAAGGACAATGACTTTATAAACAGTAAGCTCACAATTATCCCACGATGGCAGAAACCCCAGGTGTGCCACAGTGCTGTGAACCTTCTCGTGCTGGCACAACGTAAGCAGTCAGCAGGGTGGAGTGCACTGGGAAAGGCTGACCAGGGCAAAAGCAGGTAAACACTCTCAAGAATCCTGGAGACAGGAACTCCCCCAGTCACTGGAGACGGAGAGCTTGGGGCATTTCTTGGAGATCACATTGAAGAATAAATAAGGGCTAAATTGTACAAAAGATCTCAGTGACGGCTCACCCACTCAAGGAATGTGTACTTGGCAGGGCTGTGTAGACTTCATCTTGGGGGAACAATGAAGGTTTGGAAATTAGAAAATAAAGTAATAAAAATGTGCTTTGATTATTTTAATAAAGTCCCATGGAAGGAAGTTTAGCAGTGTCAAAACTTTTAAAATGTTGACCTACATTGATATAGTAAGATACTAATCAAAGATTTAAAAAATAGTTTGGGTCACACGTGGTGGCGCACATCTTTAATCCCAGCTCTCAGGAGGCAGAGGCAAGCGAATCTCCATGAGTTCAAGGCTGATCTACAGAGTGAGTTCAGGACAGCTAGGGCTACATAGTTGAGACCCTATCTCAAAAAAAAAAAAAAAAAAAAAAAACACANAAACACCAAACAAGTAAATAAATAATAAAGTAATTTAACTTCTGACATGAACAGAACTTGGACATTATCACTTCTGTCCTCACAGCAGAAAAAGAAAAAAAAAAAGGTTAAAAACTATAAAATCAGCAACTCAAGTCCATCAAGGGTCACAGCAGACTTGAGGTCCCTGGGGACCCTGACCTAAAACTAGAAACAGATAGATCCACAGGGTCAGTCAGGGTTTGCTCAGATAAGAAGTCACCCAGAATCTACCAGGACTTTATGTCAGAAATAGTTTAAGAATGATTGATTAGCTGCTAGAATCTCAGTATAGACCAACTTGAGGGATTAAAAACTCCTGAAGAGGAGCAGTTCATGTGGCTTGAATGGTCAGAGCGCTCAGTTCTTTAATCCTTCAAAGCCACGTGGAGTAGAAGGAAAAAACCAACTCCACAGAGTTGTCCCTTGAGCCCCACATGTATGTATGCCATGGCATGTGCTGGCGCACACATACAATAATAATAATAGTTTGAGGGGTTTTTTTGTTTGTTTGTTTGTTTGTTTGTTTTTGGTTTTTCGAGACAGGGTTTCTCTGTAGCTTTGGAGCCTGTCCTGGAACTCCCTTTGTAGACCAGGCTGGCCTCAAACTCACAGAGATCCGCCTGCCTCTGCCTCCCGAGTGCTGGGATTACAGGCGTGCGCCACCACCACCTGGCTTAATAATAATAGTTTTAAGATTTATTTTTAATTATGTGTGGGTTTGTGCTCCTGAGTACAGATTCCCCAAAGACTGGAAGTCTGGGATTCCTGGAACAAGAATCATACTGTTTTAAGCTGCCCAGACTAGGTATAGGGACATGAACTTGAAGAAATGGCTCAGCAGTTAAAAGTTTTGTTGTGCTTTTAGAAGACCCAGGTTCAATTTCCCAGCACCACATGGTGACTCACAACTCTGTAATTCCTATTTCAGAGGATCCAGTGGCCTCTTCTGATCTCCACAGGCACCAAGTACACATGTGATATACATTGTAGGCAGAACACTCACACATAACATCACACACACACACACACATCTTTTTATAAAAAAAAAAAAAAAAAAAAAACCTACCCCTCACTGACAATTCCAGTTCTATGAAATAGAAACTCATTCTAGACTGTTATAGCCAGAGTTTGCTCTCACAAAAGATGAAAGCCTTATGAGAATCAGTAGATTTTGCTGAGGGTGCTGTTCTGCTCAGCTGCACCCTGCTAAGCCGTCTGTCAATTACTAATATGTGTATTTGAGTCTCCGGTGATTCACGTGTATGTCATTTCTCCTTTTGGCAGTGTGTGTATCTGTGTGTGTCTCCCTGAGATAAACATTTCTTAAATAAGACAAAGTACCAACCAAAAGAACAAGATTCACCCTTATTAAAATAGAACTTTATTCATCAAAAGTTGCCTTAAAGAAATTGAAACAAGTTCAAAACTGGCAGGATTTATTTATAACACATAAAATGAACAAGAGAATATGAAGCTACAATTTTAAAAAGTTTGCACATGGAAGAGTGAAGGTCAGGTCATCTCAGAGTATAATTACTTCAGAGTGACATCACTGGAGAAACTGTCACTACAGAAAGGGCTATTTGGCCTGTCTTTTCCTACATGCCACAAGCCATAAAGATTCTTGTGAGAGGGACATCTTTCACAAAGCAAAGCCAGAAAAACAGCCTTGATCACCAGACTGGTGACTGCTGTAATTCATCACAGCCCCAATTAACAAGTTCTTTGAAGTAACCTTTAGCTTCCATTAGCTTCTACCCCCGCCCCGCCCCATATCTCTTAATGACATCCCTAGGATATAGCTTAGTGGAGAGATCCATTTGTCCTGTCTGTCCTTCCTAAATTGATTGTTGTCTAAATATCAAAGCATCTTACTTTGGTTGTTTCTTCAAGCTCCACTTTCTTGTGAGGCTTTCCTCATACATGTTAATTTAATAAAACAGACTTCTTTATCAACTCATTAGATCCAACCGAAGAGCCCTTCTAAGGGCTAAAGGTACTTACCTGGGATGTGTGAGGCCCTAGCTCCCATCCCTAGAACTGCTCAAGAAGACTAAGCAGGGAAGAGTACTCTCCTCTCTTGACCTTATTCTCACCCCCTCCTCTGTACAGCTATTAAAAAGTGGAAGAAATAGATATTTCACAAAAGAGAAAACAAGAAAATGAACATAAATTCTTCCCTTGTTTGTAACTGTGGTGGAATAAAATTCTACACCTCTTATTGGCAAGTGTCACAACAAAGTTTGAGGAGACTGTAACCAGAGGTGGAGAGCTCCAGGAACCTTTATACTCTTGGTTGGAAATGGAAAGCTCCACCTGCTTTGGAAAACAACTTGTAACTGCCTTGCAAAATTCAACATTATAGAATTTTCTATCAACATTCACATACCCGATAGGAATACTTGCTGGTGTGTCATAGGATATGCAAAAGAGTATTTATAGCAGCAGCATTAGGTTAGCAGAAAAGCTAGAAACCATCCACATGTCCACTAGTGAGAGAGTGGATAAAGCAGGCTGTACTCACAATGGGGAATTCTATTCATAGGAGTGAGTAAACTTAGTATCTGTTATAGCAGCATAAAGAACACATAAATCCACTGCTCACTGAAACTGATAGAAAAATGAAGAATCACATTTACAGTCTCTGGAAATGCGTCTGAGGTGTTATAGGAAATTTAGAAATGTCTATTCAAGTTAAGCTGCTAAAATTGATAAGAAAATGTTCAAGTCTAGAGTGCTTTAACTAAGACTGGCATTCTCCCTCCTGTTGCAACTCAATGAGACAAAAACTCGTTCTAGCCTACAACAGAAGGAACACAGCTCTGAGGGCTATTGGGAGGAGCGGTGCTCTAGGCTTTCCTTTAGAACTTTGCTCCTGCCCTGCCCTGCCCTGGCCTGCCCCTGGAGTCGGAATGCTGTGGGGCACTGAAGGGTGGGAGCACCCTCTCCTCTCCCACCCAGGCAGTCCTTATTTGCTTGTTTGTAGAGTGGAGTGGAGTCTCTGCCTTTCATTCTCTTCCACCAGGAACACTGGAGATCTGGCCGCTCTTGGGTTATGGCTTGAAAGGCAGAGAGGGTATCCAGAAGAGATGAAGACCTGGGGTTCACTTGCTGGACCAGCATTACTCAGAAAGAACAGCACCATTGTCCTTCCGTCTGGCTACAGAACTCTGGCCTGAGTGATAGAAATAGGTTAAGTAAAAACTTCTGGTCTCCTCATTTTTAACATAAAATGGAGATTTTTCAGCCACTCTCAGAAACAGGCACAGGTCAGTCAGCTAGACACTAGCATATGCCTGTAATCAGAACACATTGGAAGTTGAGGCTGGAGGATTGCTAGTGTGAGGCCAGCTAAGATCCACAGTAAGCAAAATCCTGTTTCCAAAAATATAAAATAAGATAAACAAATAGGTGTAGGTTGTGGTAAGAGGTAGTTGAGCTGTCAGGGATAGATTCAGGCCAACCTACGTGCTGAGTGCTTTGCCTAAGAACACTTGGGAAGGAGACAAAACTGAGGCATGGGGAGCTTTCCAGAGGTCATAACAAATATTAATCACCCACAGTGGGAATTAATCCTTCATGGGAACCTAAATTCAAAAGATGATCTCTAGAGCAGTGTGTGTCTAGGGTTCTCATCAAGTCAGCAGGGCCAAATTGTCTGGATTCAGCACCCTAGTGAGCTCAGGAAGGAACTCAAGAACTCCCAAACCGCCCCATGCCTCACTGGGGCATTCCCTAAAGTGCTTAGCACTGTTAGAGGACAGGGTGAGACATAGTCTTTACTAAAGACGGTCTGACCAGAGACTATGTGCATTCATGAGCAGTAAGTGAGCCATGAGGAAGGAGCCGGTACCCAGATTCCCACATGTGTCATCTGAATTGTCCCAGGCCCAACAGCAGAAGCTGAAACATAAAGAAAT